AGCGCAGGGCAGCAGCGCGCAGGCCTGCTGGGGGCAGCGAGCTGGGACGACTTGCCGGGCAAGGAAAGAAGTTTCTTAGGAGTCTTTTGAGCTGATTATTCTTCCCTACTTGAAGTGCAAGTCAATGCACAAGATCCCCTAGTTATTTAGTTTCCTTATTGCTTTATAATTTCTAAATTGTTTAGGATTCTTAATATTTTATTGCTTTATTAGTTCCCTAGGTAGAATAGACTTAGATCTAGTTGGTGCCTATATAAAGGCCCTTCCCCCATGTTATTTTTATTCATTCAATCATTCAAGAAGTCAATAGAAATCTAGAACTTTGTTCTTCCAACTTTGCTTTAGTCTTTTCACCAGAATACTATAGCAATTTTATTCGTTTCAATAGGCGCGGTTGTGGCTAGAGAAACACTATCAGCGATTCAAGGCGCGGTTAGCGGCTTATCGGCAGTCGAAACACACGATCCTCATCATTGGTGCTTTCATTGAGAGGTGTTGATCGTGTGTTTTTCTCCTACCCCATTCCCTTTCTTTTTCTTTTCCTATTTTTCGTCCTCCCTCATATATCAAAAAGAAAAAAAAAAATATCATCATCTTCAACACGAGTCCTAGAAGCTAAGAGAAGAAAGCCATGGCTAACAAGGAGATGAAGGACAAGATCGATAATCTCGATGTTCAAGTCCGAAGTATGAGCGAGGCTATGAATACACTAGGCGAGGGTCTCGATACCACAAAGGCGTCTGTTCGTGAATTGATGGAGATCATGAACCATCATTTTGATGATATGGCACGCAACATGTTGGCGCGCCAATCACCGCCCCGACGGCCCAATCGCGATCAGCCCGAACATGAAGGATGACGCGAGAGCGAGCATGATGATTACCACGAACGGCGGTGCGAGGATCGAGAGCTCGAACGACGCCACGATCGTGAGCGACACGAAGAGGAACGGCGACATGATGAGCGCGAGTGAGATGTGGACCGCGAGCGACGACGCGAGGAGTACGAGCGGGAAGATGACTTCGACCGACGGTCCCAGGCGTCTAACCACTACGACCGACCGAAGCCAGAAAAGCCAAAGGTCGTGTTATCCACCTTCACCGGTGTAGATCCCGATGCATGGCTCAACTGGGCTGCCCAATATTTCGAGCTGAATGAGATCGAAGAAAACGATCGGGTAAAGTACGCTGCTTACTATCTTGATGGAGAAGCCAACGTGTGGTGGCAGTGGCTTACAAGCGTCTACCGTGGCCGACGACAAGTCATCAGGTGGAACAACTTCGTGCGCGAGTTACTTACGCGTTTCGGAACATCCGACTACCACAACTACAATGAGGCGCTATCACGCATACGGCAGACAGGAAGCTTGCGCGACTATCTAAAGGAGTTCGAGCGATTAGCATTTCGCGTACGAGGCTGGCCCGAGACCGCGTTGGTGGGAGCATTTATTGGAGGGCTGAAGTTCGACCTAGCTGCAGAGGTGCAGTTAGAGAGGCCCGAATCGATGCACGCGGCTATGGAGGTTGCTCGACGCCGAGATGACCACCTCACCGCCACTCGAAGGGGACGGACGGACGTACGTTATCTCGAAATACGACGCGTACAACCGGATGCAAGCGATATGGTTCCGAGCGGCTGACCACCTGACAACTCTCGACCGACTAATAGCACACGACCACCAGTCAAGCACTTTACGCTCGAGGAGATAAGACGCCGACGTGAGAAAGGGCTATGTTTTAAATGCGAAGAAAGATTTACGCCTGGTCATCAATGCAAGCAGGCTTTTGTCATCCACGTTATAGACCCGAATGAGGAAGAGCCCGAGATCGAGGAGAATTGGGAGCAAGAAGTTGAGATTGGGGTTCCCAAAGAGGAGGCCGAAATCTCGATGCATGCGATGGCTGGTACAAGAGGACCGATGACGATGCGGCTGCCGGCGTTGGTCAAGGACCATCGTGTAGTCGTGCTAGTAGACAAAGGATCATCGCACAACTTCATCAACGCCGATCTATCTCGAAATTTGAAGTTGCCAAAAACGAAGGTCGAACCATTTGAGGTCCGAGTAGCCAATGGAGAACAGCTAAAGTGCTCGGAGGCTTACCGTGCGATACCGATTAAATTTCAAGGAGTCACCATCAAAGCCGATCTCTATGTGCTACCCTTGGTTGGACCCGACGTTGTGTTAGGAGTACAATGGCTCGAAGGTTTAGGAAAAGTGACCACCGACTACCGGATGGGAGTCATGGAGTTCGACTCAGGAGAGCACCGGGTCACGTTAAAAGCAAGCAATGATAGCAGAGCCAAGGAGTTTGGTCTAAAGAGTATTGAGCGGGTTTGGCATGGGGGCGGTCAGATTTTTACCGTCGAGGAAGTAGGCGCATACGCGAGCATGGTTGAGCATGTCTCGGCAGAATATGATGGCCCACCTATCTTCGACGTGTACCCCGAGGATGAACTTATGGACGGCGAAGTAGTCGAGGAAGCTGAGATCAAGCAAACTGAGGTCGAAGGCGAGGTGCCCGAGATGTGGGCGATCGAGCAGCAGCAATTCGAGAAACGCAAGTTGGTTAGAGCGTCCGACCACGTATTAGGCGAGTCAGACAAGGAAGAAGGCCATGACGACGCAAAGTGTAAGGAGCCTATCCTTATGTTTGAATTCTCAAAATATTTTAAGAACCCAAAGGTCGACGAGTACATAAAAGAGTCAACGGGTTATGAAGGACCGCCTGTCTTCGATGTATATCCCGATGAGTACTTTGTCGAGGTTGAAGGCATTTGGGTAGAGTCCAAAGAAGATGTTGTGGTCGAGGTGATGACGCCCCAATTAATGGTCGATGACGAGTCCTTGAGGACAAGGACATTCTTAAAGGGGGCGGGAATGATACGGAAGTGGGTTTTGACCCCCGATGATGAGAAAGGCCGAGGGCCGAAGCTAATGGAAAAGGCCAAGCAAAGGTCGCAAATAAGGCTTGCATGGCCTAGGAGACGTGCACGAGCACGTATACGGGGGTACCGACGTGCACGATGGCATAGGAGGTCGAGCATGAAGCTCAAGAGTTTGAGGCTTGAAGGCTTGAGCGGCATGGTCGAATGGCGCAAGGTGTGTTCGAGGAAGCGACGCGCACGATGCTTGGAGGCTAAGGTCTCGGATTTTTACTTTGTGAGGGAGACGATCGGTGCACGAGGGGCGGATGTTGGGTGGACAGCGCGCACGTGGGACGACCACAAGGAAGGGCGCAAACATGCGCATTGGCGTAGACGTGGACGGGCAGGACCACGCCTCGAAAGGAAGCACTATCAGAGGTTTTGGGATGCTTATAAGAAGAGTGAAACCTGGTGGGGATGGCTAAGGGACCAGGTGGCTTGAAGGAACGGAAGGCACGCGAGTTGGGTGCCTAACGGGTGCAGCCTGCGCACATGGGCGCGCTGGCAGCA